GCCCCGATTCTCACTCTCGCCCAGTCTACCCGTTTTGCTTGTCCCAGATAACTTTCCACTCTGAACAGTTACCATACCCTCAGGAAAGCCTATTGTAAAGAAAACAGGTTTTGAGCGAAAAAAATCTTCTGAATGTTTTGTGGACGTCAGAGATTTCAAGTAAATGGATTCCCCATCACATGCATCCTGTGTTACAAGACTAGACTTGTACATTCATCGCTCAACTTCAGCAGTGATGTTTGCTGTGCTGTACTCTCCACACCCATGCACATAACAACGAGCTGTTCACTCTCATTTTGACTGTTCTCTTCGGTATTGGGACTTCCTACAATTTTTCGTTTTATAAGTACAATTGTCATCTGAAGCTGGCCCGAAACGTAGAACCTCATCTGGTTCATTTGAGGCCATTCTTTCAGCACAAAAAATGGAGTTTAGACGATGTCATCACAACTTGGCCTATAGTTATGCGACAAATGGACATAACTTCATGATTTTGGCGCTCCACGTGGCAGTGCGCGATGTAACAGAGAGAAGCATCCTGTCGAATTGGTTCGGCGCCCCTACGACCGAGCCTTCATTTGCCCAAAGTTTTTTCTGTACAGTTCTCACGGATCGACCCCTACTACTTTATATCGCCAATGTATACCCCGCACATTGGAGCAATATATTGGGAAAAAGATAATGAACCTTATTTTTCAGTCAAAACAGGGCTTCATGCAGCAAAATGCAATAAAGCCTTAACGTCATTTTGATATTTTTACATCTTCAAGTTTTACATGGATACTTGGCCTAACTGATAAGACATTTTTAAGCTCCATAAGTATACCATGCATATCAAAAGGGGAAGTTTACAAGACGAATGGTCATATGGAATAGGCTTTTGAGTCTCATTGCGACGAAGTTATCCGAAAAGACGATTTGTCTAAGCTTTGGAGTGCAATTGATGTATGCAAAATTCTCCTCTCAGTTAAACTAGCTTCAGATTCGACGTATTTCTCCCAATGAGTTTGTGGAAGGAACAGGCATGCCAGTGAAAGTGGAAGGCGTATTCTTTTGGATTCGCCGAATGAAAAAGACGGACCAAGTCGGCCTGGCCTAAGACGGAGTTTACGCCCTAAAAATAATGAGTAAGAACTTAATCCGCCTAGGCTGTTAAAGATGAATTAAGGACTTTTAGTTGAATTTTTCCATAAATAAATGATTTAGCAATGACGCCCGAACGAATTTAAGTCTCGAAAAAAAACTCACTTATGCTAAAAAGAAGAAATTTAGTCCAATTGTGTGCAAGTAGAGGCCAAATTAACTTTTTAAAATGGGGGGGCTTTTTTATTATATAATCTTAGCTCTCAATATAAATTCATTACAAAAAAGAATATTTATAGTGGGGGTCCAATTCTATAATGTTAAACCTTTTCC